GTCTGCACAGGAGTCTCTCCCTTCCCCAGCGCTGTGATCTGCAAAGCGCCTTATCTGGAAGGTTCTGGCGCTGAGCGCGGGCACCCTGTGATTACTTGGGAATTGGGGTGGAGTTTTTTGGCTGTGGAGCCTCAGCAGCTGCCGCAGTCGGCTTATCGCAGGCGACTCAGCTGTGGCGGCAGCTAGTGTGGCGGGTGCTGATGGCTGGGGCTCTTGGGCTGACTTGCACAGCACAATCACCTTCCATGAGCATTCATTCGTTGGTCCTGAATGCCTCAAAGCTGGGAAACTGGCAAGTCTAGAAGGAAAACACCTCCTGTTTACTGCTACTGCTCTGGGTGGCTATCCCTGGTATTTGGAGCCAGTGTTGAGATCTCAGTCCAAAGAGGATTCTGGACAGACTGGGCAGAAAATGCTGGAGTCGAGAGGGATGGTAGAGACCCTGAGGGATGTTAGGAAATCAAGGGCCAGAGTGGTCAAATGATTAGCTAAGGTCACGCAGCCTTTCTAGGGCACAGCCACATAGAGAACCAACCTGGATTTCCCAGAAAAGGGGGAGGGAGGTCCCCCCCCTAGGAACTAGTATGTTTCTTTTTATCAGACAATGAAAGCACATTTCCCCTTTTGATTACCAGGCAGCTTAGACCTAATGCTCAGTCACAATAGTCATCCATATGGGTCTGTCTGGTCATGACCCCTGGAGTTATCTCCAGGATCACAGTCCTGGTCCACAGAAAGCCCCTCCCATGTCACACGCTTCCCTCCCAAAACTGCATTCTTGGCAGAAGGTGACACTCTTCAGCAAAAAAGGGACCATCTAAATAGATCTGTGTCTCTAATGGTTTCACTCAGCTCCCATCCCAATCCTGGTTTAATGGCCTCTTTCTTCTTTATGATTTTTTCTTTTTCTCACTTTATTTTTAACTTTTTTTTTCAATACAGTCACCGAGAGTTACTTCCAAGTCTCGAACCATGGTGATCTGAATCCAACACCCTCATCAGAGCCACAGAACAAGCTCACTTTGGCACAGCTATGACAGGTGTGTAAGAAGGCCCAGGAATTTAATGCAGACAAAGTCACTCAGGAACGTGCTATAACAAACATTTGTCTCAACTACAGTTATAGTCACTGCAGTCGCCTCATGCTGAGCATTCACGGAACCTGATTCAGCTTCATGGAGGCTTTTACAAGGCAGCCTGTACACAGCCAGGGTTGCAAGCTCATCAACAATGGCAACATGAGAAGCCGTGTCTGAGTTTAAATTCTAAACCCACTGGGTAAAATTTTAGAAACTATGCTCCCAGCCACTCTCATCAAGTGCCTTTCTCTTTCTTCCAGGGAGCATCTGAATTCAAGTGATGCACAGCATCCCAACTCACTGCAATGAGTTTTCTCCAGCAACTAGCCTCAGCAGGAGGCTGGCCGGATACCTCGGAATGCCTGAAAACTAATTTACTGCAGATGTGCACTAAGGAGCTTGTACAATTATCTTATTAGATGCATAGCTAGTCTATACAAGAGACCACATACGGCACCGAAGGAGTGCTTCAGAAATAAATACCATATTTAATACTTTCTTTTTTAAAGCAGATTTTTTTATTGATAAAATAAGAAGGGAAAAAGGAGTGCAAGCTCAGTAAGCTATTTGCTCTTAGCTATAACTATAAACAGAGATGAACTATAATATACCACCCTTTCAAAGCCAGGATCCATGAGTTTTGTTTTAGTTAAATTAGTTGTTTGCTAAAAGGTAGGCTGCTGAATCTTGCCTTTTATTTTTTTGTCTACTCCATATAACCTTCACAGCCACTTCTCTTGATGCCAAATGGCAGATAGACTGCTGGGGGGACCAGGGTGCAGGGTATCACACATTTCTTCCCTCAAATAACTGGGTGTGGAAGACAAGCAAGAAGGAGGTAGAGGAACATGAAAGTAAATGCTTCAGCTAAATTGCAAGCCGGAGAGCAAAGCAATAACTACTTGTGGTCATTTTTTTTTTTTTTAAATATATTTTTATTGATTTCAGAGAGAGGAAAGGAGAGGGAGAGAGAGACAGAAACATCAATGATGAGAGTCGTTGATCGAGCCTGCAACCCGGGCATGTGCCCGGACCGGTAATTGAACCCTGATCTCCTGGATCCCAGGTCGACGCTCAACCGCTGAGCCACACCCCGCCAGGCGCTTGTGGTCATTTTTTAACCACATGCCTTTCTCAGAAAAACACGAGTTGTCAGATTCCTCTTCCAAAAGACACCTCCTTTTGGGTCTCTAATTACGCATATGTTAGACTAGCTGATAGTGTCCCACAGATCTTGACTTCTCTGTTCTGCTTTCTTTCCCCACTCTTTTTTTGTTCTATTTTGTTTCCATTTTGATCATTTCTAGTCACTTATTTTCAAGTTCTTTTATTCTTTCCTCAGAACTGGCCAGTCTACTGACGAGCCGGTTGAAGAAATTTCTCATTGCCAAGGAAGTGTTTTGGGTTTTTTCA